ATCATATTCGGGCTATTAAGCCTCACATATAGGTGGCAAAGCTCTAGCCGAAAGAGCCAAATGGCAATGATATTTCTAGCCGACTCTAGAAGCAAACACAATGGAAATGGTGAAGAAGTGTGACATGTGCCGAAGATTTGGAAGGCTCAGCCACCGTCCAGCAACTGATCTGACGACAATTCATAGCACAGTACCATTCGCCAAATGGGGCATGGATATCTTGGGTCCCTATACACCTGCGTCAGGCGGACGACGGTATATCCTAGTGGCTGGTAACTACTTCACCAAGTGGGTGGAAGCTGAGGCTGTCAAGGTCATCAAGATAAAGGATGTAATCTCTTTCATCTGGAAGAACATCATCACTCGATATAGGGTACCTATGTCTATGGTTTTTGACAATGGCCCTCAATTTAAACCCTCAAGAATTAGCTTGGAGACCAAGGGATCTCTCACTTCTTTGTATCAGTCGGCCAACCCCAAGCAAACGGCCAAGTTGAAGCTAGGGGTGAAACAAATTTGGTTTAAAACCAAACCGAACCGAATTAGTAATATGGTTGGGTTTTTTTATTAAGTGGTTTGGTTTCGGTTTGTAAAATCAAGAAACCGAAATTATATGGTTCGGTTTCGGTTTCGGGAAATGAAAAACCGAAAAACCGAAACCGAACCAAATTTCGGCCCATACTATATAAAGCAAAAAAAAAAACCTTAAATTAGTTTCACTCTCTCAATCTCTCTCCTTTTCTCATCCTCTCACTCTTTCCTCTTCTCTTTCCGCCCTTTCTCCCTCTTAGTTCTCACTCTCTCTCCTTTCCTCTTCTGATCTTCTCTAATCTCTACTCCGTCCTTTCTCTATCCTCTTCGATCTCTTCTCCACTTTCACTCTCTTTTCCTCTTCGACAGTTCAACCAATATTACTTAGGCAAACCGCAAACGACCTAGGACGACCACCAGTGTTCACATTCTAAAGGTTTTTTTATATCAAATTCGACCATGAAAACACTAGATCTAGAGTTTTCATGGTCGAATTTGACCTTTAAAACCCGAATTCGAGGTTTTTCGGTGGAATGTGAGGTATGTTTGAGGTTTTTTTTCTACTTTATTTTTATGGTGGTGTGTGATTGAATTGTGGTGGTGGTAGGTAGTTTTGGGTCGATCTAAGGTTAGGGTTTGGGTGGAAGGGATGAAGAGCGGTGAAATAAGGTGGGTTGTGGGTTGTTGTGGGTTGTGGTGGGTGCGAATCTGGGTTAGGGGTGGTGATAAGGTGGGTTAATTGGGTTTCGTCAATGTGTGGGTGACTGATTTTTATTAGGTTAGGGTGGGTTTCGAGTGGTCAGGATGGATGGTGGGTGGTGGTTTGGTTCGGTTTTTTTTTTTTTGCGAAATTTGATGTGTTATGATGCTTGATAGGAAAATTCGGTGTGGTTTGATTTTTTTTAAGAAAACCGAAATTTAGGTGGTTTGGTTTGGTTTGGTTTCAAAGCTAAAGTGGTGCGGTGTGGTTTGCAAAATCAAGAAACCGAAATATGGTGGTTCGATTTTGGTTTGGGCAAAAACCAAACCGAAAACCGAACTTTTACCCCTAGTTGAAGCCGTTAACAAGCTAATCTCTAACGGCATTAAAAAGAAAATTGAAAGAACTGGCGGCCTATGGGCTGAGGAGTTAATTCATATGCTTTGGGCCTTCACAACCACAGCAAAAGGGGCAACCGGCGAGACCCCATTCCTCATGGTATATATAGCTGAGGACGTTTTACCTATTTAGTTTTATGAGCCGACTCTTCGGGTCATGTTGTATGATGAAGAGGCAAACTGTGAAGCCATGCGACTAGCATTGTACTCTCTCCCATAACGCCGGGGCAATGCCGCCTTATTCCATCAGATTTACCGTTTGAGAATGACAAGAGCCTACAACAAGAGAGTGCACAAACGACCCTTGAAAGTGGGAGACTTTGTGCTACGCAAGATCGAGGCAACCGGTAGGGCTAATGAGCAAGGCAAGTTAACACCCAATTGGGAAGGTCCTTACCGGATCTATGAAGAAGTAAGAGACAACACCTACTACCTGGAAACACCAGACGACAGGAAGCTAGATAGAACTTGAAATATAGACAACTTGAAAAAGTACTACTTTTGAGACTTGTAAAATTTTGGTAAATGAAAGGCTTATTGATAAAAAATGCTTTTTATTTCAATTTATTTTCATTTTGCAATCATATTATTAGATACCCTCCCTATGGGAGCACCTCCTGTGCAATGTGCAGACGGTAAAATCTAAACCAACTGTCCACTCTAATGGGGTGAGATATTCGGTGACGCCCATCCTGGTGAATTCGCTTACAGAGAGCATCTCCCATTCGGGTGGTACATTGCTCTATAAACTCATAACACAAACGGCCCAACCGACTGCTTCAATAAAGCTCGTAGCCATTTGTCCTCGTAAAACTAACGGATAACCATCACTATTTAACCAACCGTGTGCCCTATGGGAATACAGACGGAAACCAGCCATAGGACACCTTAGATTAAAATTTAATGGGGTTAAACTTAACTACATGAACGTCTGCAATTGCCTTGGGGCAACACAGGCGGCTCATAAACGCAACCTCCCCTATGAGAAAGGAAACGTCCACGTGAATGGGTCAAACTTGCTTAAACAAGTATACTGAACTACTTCCCAGATGGCCTACCAGGCCATCTGCTCATCTCAATGAGAGAACAACTCCTGGAAAATATGAACGAATGGGATCACGCCGCCTACTCAAAGAAGTAGAGGTGTCCCTAATTAGTAATAGAGGCTAAGTCCAAACTTAGCAATTGTAGCTACTGATTGTCTAAATTTACGAGAAGATTGTCTGTCCCGACGATTGAATACGGCCAATGGCCGTCTGATATTTAAACTTTACCCTTCCGCTCGATGGATGACTGATCGCTTAGTTTGGGGCAATCACCATAGTGATTGATTGACTTGGAAATTAGTCATACTCTTTCAAGTATCAAAAATTTCTAAGTCAATCAACCCACTTTTTGAAACCAAGTGTACAGCAGTCTAGGGGCAAGAACATCCAGTATAACGAAAAAACCGCATGCATAGAATAAAGCAGGCTATATACTTAGTCAAATTTATGCATAGCAACAAAAATTCAAGAACTTGAAAAAAAAAACCTGCAAGAATGCAAAGGAAACAAAACCGACCTCATAGTTGGCAAATTCATAAATAATAATAATCGACCCCACGGCCGGTCAAAAGAAATTGTTAATCGATATACAATCGATGAAAAGAGTAGAGGAATTGTTGTTTAGATCCGACTCCCCAGTCGGTAAGGGTACAAAGTTACTCGGCGCATAGGCCGGAAAAGTAAGTACCAAGCCATCCGGCCAAAGAAAAGAACAACAAATCTTAATATGTTCAAGGGAAAGGCTGCTCTTCATTACCTTCCGGCTTTTCACCAGCATTAGCCGGATGCTCCTCATTATGTTCGAGCTCCTGATTTGCGGCCATCTCCTCATCCTCGACCGTATCCTCCATTTCCTACTACAACTGCTGCTTGTTAAGCGCATTAGTGGCCTCGTCAAAACGATACTCCAAGATAGAGTAGTCGTCCTTAGGAAACAAAACTTTCTAGGCCATCTTCATCCATGTGACACAGTTGGCCTCATTGTCAGAGATCAACTATTTCTTTTCTTCCTCGGCCCTGGCCTCAAATTTTTTCCTCAACTGCACCTCTTGGTTGGACAACTTCCGTTTCAAGGTCTCATTCTGACGACGAAGGTTGTCGGTCTCCTTGTGAGCCTCTTCAAGCGCCTCGAGCTTGGACTTAGCTGTCTTCAGTTGAGCCTCGAGGTCAGCAACCCGCTCGTTGGCCGTGTCCAGTCGGGCCTTGACCTGTAGGTTGGCCTCCGCTTGTGAATGCAGCATATCACTTGTTAGTGCCTCATTTTTACAAATGTCAAACATGGCTCAGTCAAGAGCAGAGGCGGCCCATTCTTTGGCATTCTTTACCTCATTCTATTTGTCCGAGAACGGCTTCTTAAGCTCATTTACTCGCAGCATTGCCTGCATCCCTCAAAAACGCCTTGTTAATAACAGGCGGCATAAGAAAGATAAAAGAGAAATTCTAACTTGGCTACTTTACCTCAGCAAGGAGAGCCAATATAGAGTCAAAATTGAGGGTGCCAACCCCTCTTACAGACTCCCGTTCAGCAGGGGAGACGGCCTTGAGCATGTTCTTAGCGAACTGTTGTATATTCGGCCTCTAGGCAACATCTGCACATTAACATCTGGTAAGAAGTTGGCATAAGCTCGGTCTATAGACCGGGTGTCTTCGGAGCTGCTGGGGACTGTTGATAAGACTTTACCCTACAAAGGTAGGGCAAGGGGTTAAAGGCAGTTGTATAGGTTGGGTCCTACTGAGCTGCCCTATGCTCCCAGCGCTGCCCAAGGGATGCACTCTCACCCCAGCCCAGATCTCCGGGGTCAGGCTCAAGGTAGAGGCTTAAGTAAGAAGCACGATAAGTCAGCCACAGGCTGACCCAGGCTTAGACTCACGACAGAGGCTCAGGTTAGAGGCTCTGGGCAGAAGCAAGATAAGTCGGCCACAGGCTGACTCGGGCTTAGAGTTAAGGCAGAGGCTCTGGGCAGAAGCACAATAACTCAGCCACAAGCTGACCGCCTAGGCTAGGGTTATGATGTACTATAAATACCCTAGACTCACCATAAGAAAAGGGGGTTAAATAATCTCTCTCTCTCTCTAAAGCATATTAAGCTTATTATTCCCTCAAAAGACAAACACTTACTTAGCTATCGGAGGGGGGTTCCTCGAAGTCACCACCGAGGGCAGTTTACGTTCTCTCTCTTACAGGTTTGCCAGCCAATGCTGGCCAGAGGTTCCGACCGCCAACTCGAGACCCCAGCAAGGCAGCCCAAGACCTAGCAGTGTCGTTAGTGGTTCGACGACTCTAACCGGAACTACACCCGAAACTATTGGCACTAGAAGGAGGGATCGAACCAAAACGGACCTTGAAGCACTAGCCGGCTGAGTTATTAAGGGCCATCAAGTGAGAGAACTAAGAAAAACCTTTTACCCGCCGCCAACCAAGGTGGTAGTCGGAAGCTGATAAAAATTTTTAGTCCTGTTTTCATCTAAATCTAGCTCAAAAATATCACCCACAACCAAAAAGAGTGGATCAACCCATTTACAAAGCCAAAAATTACAACCGAAATGGTGACCAAAAACAAAACCACATATATCAATCTATATTTACTCAGATTGGATGAGATCATATTCGAATAGGAGGAGCGAAAGAGCTCACGAGCTTCCCACCTGCTCCGAACTTTCGCAAACACTACGATCACCGCTCCGTTTTCGTCATTCCAACTTTGAGAAACACGGCATTCAACCATTGGATTCAACTGCATAAAATCAAGCAACTATTTATGTGGACAATTGCTTAGTAAAAGCGTTCACAAAAATTCGGCAAGTTGAATATGCACGGTAGCTGTTCGATAAAACGCCCAAAAGACAATTTCGGAGCTGGGTATTAGAAATAAGCAGTACATATGAGTCTCTTGAGCAACCTAAGCGATAAGTCAGACCCTGACTGGAATTAAGGCATGTTACCATAGCTGGAGTTGATGTAGAGTAAGCCATTACAATAGATAATGGGAGTTTTTGATACTGACATCCCGCTTATTTCATCTCTCATTTGGTTCCTATGCTCGAAGGTTGTGGACATATTTATTTCGTCTACTGCTCATCTTCAGTAATGACAGTGATTAATTGTGCATAAAAGAGAGGTGGAGAGATGTAAGACAGAAAAAATCAAGCAGAGCCAACAAGAAAGCGCAGGACCTGCTGTGTTCAGAGTTTGCAACAATTCATTGGGAAGTATAAAAAGCAAGACTATTAATGATGAGTATTGGACAAAAAAGCAATATAAACTATTCCTTACGAAAGCCTTATTCAAACCTGCTGCAAAAGAAAGAATTATAAATCCTTGTGGGTACCCATGATTGTATTTTAATTACAAGCATGGAAGAAGGCTCATGTGGTGACTTGTGCTACTACAATTTAATTACAAGCTACAATTTAATTATGTTCTCTGATCTCGCAGAAGTAGGTTGGTCACAGGCACAAAGTGTGCAGTAAGTTCACAAGCAAAATTACTCAAAGGAGCCTACCCTCAGAATATATTAGCAGGAAATTAAAAATCGAAGCACATGATTTACTGGAGTACATGTATGCCCATACAGAAGACTTGTACATATGAAAGAGCTTCACAAGTTCACAACCGTTGATACCATCGATACAAGCAGTTGCGTAAGCAATACTTGGGGTATTACCAACAAATGAGAGCCTCTGATAAAGCTGTCTAGCAGCTGTAAACGGTCGAGTATTAAGAGAGGTATCCTTATCTTCATATGAGTCCAAAGTACAAAGAGTGGAGGCGGTTGGAAGTCTTCGACTCGGGATACGCAAGCCACCATATGGTTAATGGTGAGGCACGCAGAGGTTCCGAGGACAGAAAGTTCAACTTAGCCAAAACGCATTAGCAACCTTGGCGTCTTCTTCTGGTCACACTCTCACTCAATATGTATATTCCAAAGCATTTTTGGGGGAGAGTGGTTGGGATTACTGCATATTATATGGTTATCATCAAAGTTCACACTTAGTTGTTCCAGATTTTAATAAAAGAAGCCGATAAAATTCAAACAAATGGAACTATGCAATCTTACATTTTATGATCTGTAAGCATTTGAGGAATCTTGAGAGAGAATGGACCATGCCAGCTATGGGACTCATACATCAGCAACTGCAGAAGGAGTACAAGTTATGAACGCTTGTTATTTTGAACTAGCAGAAGGCACAGCAAGATGTGGCTTACCATCTATAGGCTGGCAGTTTACAAGGTCTGCACAATAGATAATTTCTCTTGTTCCACAATGTTAAAGGCTATTGATGATTCTGTCAAAGATGGTGCTGGCATAATATTAACATCTTTGGGCACGGATTTACTTTTACAAGCTGATTTCTTGAGTGACCCGATGGCAATTGCAGCGTTTCATGCGTATCAAAGGGGAGAAATGGTGGTGTGCTTAGCTTGAAATAGCGGACAAGACCCATATACTGCAATGAACACAGCCCCATGGATGTTAACTGTTGAAGCTTCCAATATTGGTAGAGATTTATACTCAGTATTGCTCTCAGAAAATAATGCTAGTTTTAAAGTGAGATAACAAGTCTGAGTACTTATACGACAATACACTGGACTGATGAAATGAGGTTATAAAGACTCATGCAAATAAAATTGCATAGTTCTACATTTTATGATCAGTTCGATATCAGGATAGGAAAGAGCTATTGCAAATTCAGAAACTGATACACCAAGGATAATAAGCTTTTCCAGAAACCTTTAATTTTATTTGGAACTATAAAAGCCCAGGTTGCTTGAATATGTCAGAGAAGAATACCATGATACAAGATAAATCTTTCGGCAACTTCAAAAATGAATGGGATTTCTTGTATATATATATATTAAAAAGGGGGGGGGGGGGGGGATGGAGAGAGTAAGAGTACACTGTATACTCAGCTCTGATTGAGGAATGGTCGTCTTCTTCTGCTTATATTCACCCTCAAAATATATATTCTAAAGCATTTTTGGAGAAGAATGGCAGAATAACTGCTAATCTCTCAGTGGACAACATATTTGACCTTCGCCATTACTCATGTTTGTTGATACCCAAATTACAATTATTTATTTGAGTGTTAGCGAGCCCGCATTGAGTCATGGCAAATTCTAGCAAAAGCATACTACGGAAGCAGCAAAGATGTGGTAAGCGATGAATAAGACAGATTATCCAAGACAATGAACACATGTGATGAATTGCCTACAACATTTCTTCTTCCAGGAAAATTAAACTAAAATATCTTCTTAGTATGTTTTGAATTTAATTCAGATTAATTATAGCAGATGGTTATGACATGCTCAACGGCGTAGCAAGACCCTAAATACTAACGAGAGGCATTCAGCAGCCATGGCAAAGAAGGCAGGAAAAAGCGGGGGAGTAGGAGTAAACTAACCTATCCCGTGTAGTTAATGATCAGAAAATAAAGGTACACACTCACAGCTTGCTAATAAGGCTTACATAGCATTGTAAGAGCTCTGATTTGTAGCAAGGTCACTCAAAAAAAGAAGTTGGCCACTAACAACAATGGCACTATCTTCGACGGCAAATTCAGAATATGAAATGTGGAATCCGTGGTGAGATCTACTTTCAAGGGCTCAAGGATCGAAGACCTGACTGTGTTTACAACAAGATTGGCCATCTTCTTCTGGTTCAATCCTCTCAAAAAATAAATATCCTATAGCACTTTTTGGGGGAGGATGGGCAGAATGGCTGCCCCCTCATACGAGCATTAGTGAGTTCAGGCTTAGTTGCGTTAAATTCTGACAAAGGAGGTTGATAAAAATCCCAGCAAAACCGTCACACAATTTATAATCAGCATCCATGGAAGCAAAAAGGCTGCTGCAATATTTAGAAATCAATCACCCTCAGCAACACCAAGATTAAATGTCAGAATTCACAGATATACAAGAAGCACAACAAGGCAAAGCTGAAGCATCCTTAGCAAATAACTAGCAAGCTGATTTAACGGAAATAAAAACTTAAGTCTCCGAAATGACTGGCACTTGGTCAGTTTGAAGACTCAAGTAATGTGCAGCGCTTGAAATGCCTTAAATGTATCAACTCAAATGAAGTTCCCTCTAAATGATGAAGAATAAAATGCGAGGCAACATTATCGATTCTTGAAGGGTAGTATGGCACCACAAGATGGCACTTCAGCCCATTATATTCCAAGAAAAAGGCTGCAAGTTCCATCTGCACATATTAGAGAATGGCATCCAGGAACAACGGGCAACATGTTGAACTTCAATGGAAGGTCTAACAACAATTGCTGCAGCAGCTGTGACTGTTTAAGCATACATGTTGCAAATTTTGAGGCCTGGCAGCAAGGGTAACTCAGTGCAATTACCTGGTTGAGACATGATGTTTGCTATAGCAGCACGAAACCACCCGTTCACATAGAAAAGAAGAAATATCAGAATGTGGTAGCAAGGCAAATAGATGTGGCAGCACGACAACATAAAATCTACTGCAAGGTCATCAGAAAAGTAGAATAAATTCAACAAGTTAGTCAGATTTCTCGTAAGACAAATTGGTATATTCAGAAAATCTGAAATTTCGGCAAGCCAGCCGGATTCTCTCACCTGAAAAACCGGAATTTTCAGCAAGTAATCGAATTTATTAGCAGGGAAATTTCAAGCAGAGTCATCACATGCTTCAGCAGAAGAAATTAGAATTTTTAAGCAGGGCTGAAAAATTTTAAGCTAGAAAATTAGAATTTTCAGCAGAATAAGCAGAGATCTCAGCAAGAACATTTTCCCCAGGTCAATTATATTCCATAGTAAAAAGTATCAGAATATTGGAGCAATGATAGCAGACTTGGCAGCACAATAATAAACATTCGCAACAAAGTCATCAGAGAATCCACAAAATATCAGCAAGACAATCAGATTTTTTAGGAAAAAAAAAAAAAAAAAAAAATCATTCTCCTTTAAAGTCTTAGACCTGCCTTGGCACCTCTAATACTTGGGGGACTATTATTGGGGAATAGCTCCTCCCCTGAAAAATTATTCCTGTCAGAGATCAAAATTGGCAGCAGGTTGTAGCAGCAATTCCATCCTACCCCTGCTCGTGTGAAGGGAATGACAATTGTTTCTAAAGCTGGCAGCAAGGTCATGTTATGTTCATATCCAGATTTAATTTTATATTAATTTTTTCGTGTTTATTTTGTGTCATATTGTCGTGTCATGTCATGTTATGTTGTGTTAGTTTTGTCAGCTTTAGTGCAAAGATCAATCCCTAAACTCGGTGGGGAGCATGGATAGCTTTTGAAATATTCACCTCTACATAAGGCATTTCTAAGCTATCACTTCATTTATTGTTTCTACATATATTTGCAAAATTGCATATTTCTGACAATTTGAACAGGAAAAGCTAAATAAGCGAAAATGGCCTCAACACGCTGACATGCAGAAATCAGCTAGCCCAAGCCAATGTCCTGGAGACGGTGGAAGGGCGGAATCGACAAGCCTCAAGCCACGTCCTAGAGACGGTGGAAAGGCAGCCCCGAGCCAATGTCCTTGAGACAATGGAAGGGCAAAATCAGCAAGCCTCGAGCCACATCCTTGAGACGGTGGAAAGGCAGCCCGAGCCAATGTCCTTGAGACAATGGAAGGGCAGAATCTATAAGCCTCAAGCCATGTCCCACAGACGGTGGAAAGGCAGCCCCGAGCCAATCTCCTTGAGACAATGGAAGGGCAAAATCAGCAAGCCTCGAGCCGTGTCCTTGAGACGGTGGAAAGGCAGCCCCGAGCCAATGTCCTTGAGACGATGGAAGGGCATAATCTACAAGCCTCAAGCCACGTCCCAGAGACCGTGGAAAGGCAGCCCCGAGCCAACGTATATGAGACGATGGAAGGGTAAATGGGGGCAAACATTCTGCGCTACCACCCCCTCTACCTTGGCAGGGAGGTAATGGCCCAAGGACGCTTGAGCCATCATCTCACTATATCACACCTAAGGTAGAGGGTGAGGTGGTACCAAAGACAATTAAATGTCATCATCCGGAGCCTGTCAATGTGGGGGCTGCACCTAGCCTCATTATGGGAGCACCCCTGCCATTGGCAGCGAGCGCTTCTTCAGAGCTAGCCAAGATGGGCATACTCCCAGACAATATAATTGGAAGCATCCTTACCTCAGGCAACGGTAGTGAGCAAGAACTCGAGCTCTGCTCGTAATTTTCAGCTTGCAACAAGGAATAGTGAAAATTTCTCACTCGAGCCCTGCTCGTAATTTTCAGCATGCGGCAAGGAATAGTGAAAATTTCTCACTCGAGCCCTGCTTGTAATTTTCAGCATTCAGCAGGAAGCAATGAAACTTCCTTGCTCAAGCTCAGCTTGTAACTTTCAGCGGGCGAAATCAAAGCTCTTTGCTCAGCTCAGCTCGTCGCTTTACATAACTTTTAGCAGGAGTAATCAAAGCTCCTGGTCGTCGCTTTGCATAACTTTCAGCGGGAGTAATCAAAGCTCCTCGCTCTATTTTGTTCGTCACTTTGTTTATTAGCAACATTAGCACTATCCTGCCATAACCCTTTGAGTCTCAGACTCGCTGACCCGCACCTCTGAGACTTAGGGGGGCTAGTTGTGTGGGGATGTTCTCGGTCTCACAATTTGTTGAGCAAGGAACCATTGAGGCCAGATGCATAAAATCGCCGGCACGAGCCCCTCGTATTGTCGCATTGGGGGCTAGTTGTATAGGGTAGCTCCTGCTGGCTGCCTTCCACTCCGAGCCCTGACTAGAAGATGCGTCTCTACTTGGAAAGAGCTGGATGAGTATCTCAAACCACCTCTTGGGGGGCTAGTTGTATAGGTTGGCTCTTGCTAAGCTGCCCTATGCTCCCAGCGCTGCCCATGATGTGCGCTCTCATCCTAGCCCAGATCTCCGGGCTTAGACACATGGCAGAGGCGTAAGTCGGAAGCACGATAAGTCAGCCACAGGCTGACCCTGGCTCAGACTTAGGGCAGAGGCTCAGGTCAGAGGCTCAAGCAAGATAAGTCGGCCACAGGCTGACCCAGGCTCAAACTCAGGGCAAAGGCTCTAGGCAGAAGCACGATAAGTCAACCGCAAGCTGACCGCCTAGGCTAGGGTTATAATACACTATAAATACCCCTAGACTCACCATAAGAAAAGCGGGTTAAATAATCTCTCTCTCCCTCTATTTATCTCTTTAAAGCATATTAAGCTTATTATTCCCTCAAGAGACAAACACTTACTTAGCCATCGGAGGGGGGTTCCTTGAAGTCACCCCTGAGGGCAGTTTACGTTCTCTCTCTTGCAGGTCTGCTAGCCGATGCTCGCCAGAGGTTCCGACCGCTAGCTTGAGATCCGAGCAAGGCAGCCCAAGACCTAGTAGTGTCGTTAGTGGTTCGACGACTCTCACCGGAACTACACCCAAAACAGCAGTAATACCTTGAGGAAGGTCAGCCTCCAAATCTCTGTGATGCCTTTCTTTATGTCCACCTAGGGCAAGCCCGGTTGTCGCTGCTGAGCCGATAGCAATGGTGAGTGGCTGACCACTCTTCAACGCTTTAGGGGTGTCCAACTTTTTCAGTGCTTCTAGGGAAGCAGGAGAATTGTCGCTAGCGGAGGGGTGAGAGTCTTCCCCATATTTTGCGGTCGAGGGGTTCTTCTGTGCCACCGTCTTCCTTGATTTGGTAGGCGTTCGGTCAACTACAGACGGACTCTTCTGTGATTTTTGGCCAAAATGAGGGGGCACATGCGGCTTGTTCAGTCCCTCCTACAAGATTAAAAGATAAAGCTGTCAGTATAAGACAGCATTGTCCGCATGTAT